CAGTAACACATCAAGCAAATTATACACCATGACCAAGTGGGTTTTATCCCAGGATCTCAAGGCTGGTTCAACATACGCAAATCTATAAATGTAATCCACCACATAAACAAATCTTTAGACATCTTTTGAATAATTTCTTGAAGTTCTAGCTCTTTCCTTTCTTCCATTCTTTTAATCTTATTTGCTATCCAAATTCTGAACTCAATTTCTGACATCTCAGTCATCTGTTTGTGGGTGGGATCTTCAGATGCATCTGCCACATCCTTCCTTGGGGGGGTTGATCTACTCTGGTTATTCGTACTACTGGAGTTTTTCCACTGATTCCACCCCATGCTGGATTTAGTCCATTTAGCTAGGTGAGCAGGTAAGAGGAAGTTGGGTTGGGGGCTCAGGGAGTAGTATTTTACTAGCCCTTTTGGGCAAAGGCTGGGACTGGTGTCTGTACCTTTTCCTCTAGAGCTTTGCCAATGATGTGTATAGTGCTATGGTTTAAGAGCCTGGGGTCCTGCGTGTCTCTATCTTGTTTTTGGCTGGTCTCTGTTCTAGCTTAGAAAATCAATTACTCTGGGTTAAAATCTCAGCTGTGGAGAAATATCAGTGATTAAGTCACCCCGCCCCTCACCAGTGACAGTTGGGAAAGGACAACCACACCTTCCCACAGCAACACCCCCAGGGTACTGCTTTAGATAGTTCTCAGGTGATTGGCCCAGTTCAAGAGATCTAAATCAAGTGTCCCGGTCAACACTGGTCTTAAGTGGGGGAGTTCAAAAGGTCTCTGGCAACTATACAGTGGGGGTCTTCTGGCAGCTCGGATATGACTCGCTCCAGTGCTCTGTGGGGTCAGAAGAACCTACCCAGCAAAATAAATTAATCTAGGAAGGTTGATGCCTCCTTCCCCACCTTGTACCGTTGTTACATCCAATCACTGGAGACCCTCTCAGGGCAGTGACCCAGTTGCCCGGTAAGCGAGTGTGGCAGGGCTTTGTGTCTGCCAGAATCAAAGTAGAGTCAAAGTAGAGTCAATGCCACCTCTACTCGGTTACTGCTCTTTATCCCCACCCAGCAAAGGGAGCTGAAGCCTGTCTGTCTCAGGCACTCAGTGACAGTTGGAGAATGTTCCACCTGAAGATAATTTAGGCCTGAGAGAATCCAGAGAGAACCAGAGATTCTCCCTCAACCACCAGTTAGTTTTCGCAGTTCATAAGATCCAAACCTATTGACCCAATCAGGGCCCGCTCACTAGCTGGAAAGCTCACAAGGTCTCCAGCAACTAGATAGTGGGAATTTACTGGCAGCTCAAGTGCGGCTTACTCTGATGTTCTGAGGCATCAGAAAGGCCTGTTCAGTAGATGATTTGGAGCAAGGAGGCTGATGTCTCTTTCGCCCCCTTGCTCGCCCTTCACACCAGACTCTGGTAACCCCACTCTCTGGTAGCCCCACCATCAGT